GACGATCGTCGCTTCCCGGTCCTAGCAAGTGTGGCAGGTGCGTGTGGAGGTGCAAAGGCCCTCAGCAGGCTGCGCCTTGTTTCCCGACGCGTAAGCCGAAAGCTACTAGACATCGAAAAGTCCTACGCTCTCCATACTTATCGCTGCTGTCGCCTATAGACCCTCGCTATGCCCTGACCTCCTCCTGTTATTGCTGCCCTCTCGTCGGTTTCTTGGGCCGGGAAATCACCCGCAGCCACAGCGTCACCATCACAAACTCCCCGCATCCATCTTCACAGAACCCTCTATGGCCGACTGAGTTCTTACATTGGCTACCATCTCCCACACTTGAGGGCCTCGCTTTCCGCAGACCGTCATGTCTAAAGTGCTCGGACGCTCCGCATCACGGGCATCGATCGATGGGCGAGACTCTTCCTTCGGTGGTTCTTCACTTCGTCCAAGCTCGAGAGCTGGTCTCAGCTCGGCCGCAGCTTCAACTGCAAGCACTGACAACCTCGGCGAGAGCAATAGTGACCTGAGACTGTCCGGTGACGGCATATTCGACAAGACTAAAAGTCGGGCCTCCGACGATGGCCACAGCGAAACCTCCTCACAACGCCGCAAGATATCCAAGTTGTTTAAGAAAGGGAAGCGCCGGAAGTCGATCGCCCCAGAGGAAACACCACAGACGGAACCTCGTGCAGCCTCTCTGCCTCTGCCTGCAATCAGACCACAGCCCGCGCCCAGGGACGAGTTCCAGAGTGAAGAATCCCTCGGATTGGCCAAGAGCGTCTCCAGCAGTCTTTTGACCGAAGATTCGGATGCAGAACCGTAAGTTTTCGTCCATTGCAAATCCATGTCACGGTGACAGCTCTGTGTCGATGTTGAGGGTGGACGGCCGGGCTAAGGCGGAGGATGACATGACACAGGCCTTCGTCAAACAAGCGCCCAGTCTCGCCCCCGCCTATTACCCGCCATTCCACAAGCATCATTATCCAGTTGTTCTCCTCCGAAACATTTCAATGGTGTGATTCTGGTCGTGGTACCGGTGGAAATCACCGTCGCGGCCTCTCTTTGTTGCATACTTCGCATTCGGCCTATGCGTCATCATCGCTAACGAACCCCCAGCTCCCCTGTCCGCCCTAGCATCTCACAGCACAACTCCCACGCCGGTTACCTTACCTTGTCCTCACCCCTCATTGCCTCCGAAACCATCGATTCCGGCACGACATTAGCGACCGAGCGATCCGAAGCTGCCTCCTTCCTCGAGGGACTGCAGCACGCAAATACACTTGCCGTTGCGCCCAAGGAGACCAGTAGAAGTGCTTCACCGGTCGGGAAGCTCAAGGACGCATTCTCTCCCCAACGGCGTTCTACATCACCCCGGACAACTGGCAACTCGGATACTTCGAGACCTAATACGAGCGGGGGCGGATTGGGGGCGCTCTTTGGGGGAAAGCCGCGGGCTCCGAAGATCCTCGAAAACACGGCTCTTCAAGAGTCTCCGCAGCAAGTCCAGGAAGAAGTCGGTTCTGGGATTTCACGCTCTGCCAACTCTACGCCTAAGAGGATAATCACCCATATCACGACGGCCTCGCCCATCGCCGCAACACCCTCCACTCTCGTAACTCCTCCGACACCGACAGATGGGAAGCCTGCGTCGCCCACTGGTTCTACGTCGAGCCTCGCTTCTGGCGCAAAACACAGCCTCTCATACTCGACTCCAAACGTTACAGTATCCCCTTCGGGGAACATGATATCACACCGTCGTGTTCGCTCAGCTACAAATCCGCCTAGTAAACTATCCAACTCTATTTCGGCATTGACCCCAACAATCGAAGAGGCAAAAACTCCGGGTGGAACTGCTGTACCTGGTCAATCGGCCGGCGGTTTCTTTTCCTCGGTCTTTTCTGCAGCACAGAACGCTGCCACTTCATTTACGACTACTATTGCAAACACCACCGCACCCAAAAACAAGACTACCCAACTGCCAACCACCAGCGAAGAGAAAGCAGCAGAAGCCGGCGGTGAAGAGGTCATTGGGCCAGACAACGGAGATTCGACTCTTATTGCGGATAGCGAAAAGAGACGGCCCGCCGTGGAGACGCTTGGTTCAGGGAATTTGAGTCTCGAGCAGCTCGGTATTACCGACAGCTCAGACCCAAGTCCTATGTCGTCGTCTGCGAACGTCAACAGAGCCGGTGAGGCCATGTCGGCCAAGGCCGAGGACATTGCTGCACAGGAAGCAATATCCGCTGCATATGCGGCGGAGAAGCCCGAACACGTGCCCGGTCATGGCAGGTCGCGGTCGGGTACTACGACCTCGGCAGCCCTCAGTGTTGCCACTCCGCCTAGGAACACGGAGGGACTTGGATCACCCGAGCAATCCTCAATCCAGCGCCAAGGAAGCATACGCAGCCGTCTCAGCGGTGGCAGGCGGAGAAGACACAGAGGCAGTTCTGCTACTACCGGAACCACAGTACCAGTTGGTGCTAGCACAACTTCTTTGGTCCCTCAGCCGAACGGACAACGTCTTAATGGGACTGGATTCGCTGTCGCACCACCGAAGAGGAACCGGGACTTCCACAACCTGTTCAAGAGCGTGCCAGAAGACGACTACCTGATCGAGGACTACAGTGCTGCCCTTCAGAAGGAGATTCTACTCCAGGGACGCCTATACGTATCCGAAGGCCACTTGTGCTTCTCTAGCAATATCCTTGGATGGGTCACGAACCTTGTCATCAGTTTTGATGAGGTGGTATCAGTGGAAAAGAAATCGACTGCCATGCTGTTCCCGAACGGAATAGTGATCCAGACGCTCCACGCTCGTAATATCTTTGCGAGCTTCCTTTCTCGTGATTCCACCTATGACCTGATTATCGGAATCTGGAAGATATCCCACCCCAATTTGAAGTCATCGCTCAACGGGGTAACCCTGGATGGCACTGGAACCGGGGACAAGACAGAAAAGGCCGACTCCGTTGTCAGTGAAGATTCGGACCAGGATTCCGATGATGAGGTGTATGATGAGGACGCCGATGAAGAGGAAGGCGTAGGCAGCTTCACAGAGGCCGCCGAGGGGAGCATCATGGGCAGCGACGTGGGCTCTGAAAAAGGAGTGGAAAGCCGAAAAGCAAGTGCAGTGATCGCGCAAGTCGTTGCTGGAGGAGCCGGGAAAGCTGATGCAGCGGAGGCTGTTGTTAGTGCCGCGGCCGCAGCGCAGGATTTCCCCGGTCCAGCGACACATGCCGCCACGGAGTGCGGAGACTCTGATCAGCATTACGATAAACTGCTCATTGACACCACAATTCCGGCCCCTCTAGGGAAGGTCTACAGCATGATGTTTGGGCCCGCAAGCGGAGCCTTTATGCGCAAGTGGCTCATCGATGACCAGAAGTCAACGGATCTGCAGATGGAAGACGACAAGAAAGGTCTTGGAGAAGACCGAAAGAGCTTCAGCTATAACTACATCAAGCCTCTTCCTGGGTCTATTGGGCCCCGTCAGACCAGATGTAACATTGCAATGTCTCTAGAGCAGTTCGACTTGGACAAAGCAGTCAGCGTCCTGTGCTCCACACAGACTCCGGATGTGCCAAGTGGTAATGCCTTCACCACGAAGACGCGGTACTGTCTCAGTTGGGGCCCGGCGAACAGCACTCGACTAATCATGACGTTCACGGTTGAATGGACGTCGAAGTCATGGTTGAAAGGTAGGGTTCACTTTTCTACAACTGTTAAATGTATTCTGACCGATTCTAGGTCCCATCGAGAAAGGTGCTAATGACGGCCAACTGACATACGCCAACTCCCTCGCTGCCGCTCTTCGCACAGGAGTATCCGCAAAGCCCGTCAGCAAACCGCTCGGAAAGGGCAAGAACGGCAAGAAGCGAACGAAGGAGCAGGCCGGGGGAGAAGCCACCGCCGCCCCGGTGACCGAAATAACGCCCGCACCAGCGCAAGCTGCAGGCAGGACGACTGTATGGGACATAGCCGGCACTCTTAACGCCACCGTCGTTTGCATCTTTCTCGCCGGTGCCCTTGTATACGCGCTCTTCTTCCGATCAACTACGTCTCACTATGTGTCACACCCGCATACCCCAGCCGAGCGCATCGCCGCCTACGAGCAGATCTGGCGCACCGAAGAAGCCGAGCTGTGGAAGTGGATGGAGGAGCGCGTGGCTCTTGACCGCGTGCACGACGCCGTCTCTGCCCGTACCCACGAGGCCTTGAACGCGCGAGATAAGCTCGTTGATGTGGATATGCAGGATAGGGTTGTGGACGAGGCGATCCGGGTCACCGAGGAGAGGCTGGAAGGGTTGAAGAGGGCGGTAGACCGCGGAAGGAAACAAGAGCACGTGAAACAAGGGAAATCTCCTAAGGGTTCTGCGAAGAAGGGTTAAACTCGAAGCCTCTCAGGACAGCGTTTGGGTTAAGCGAAGATCGTAGTTTGTGCTTGTGCTTGTCTTGTCTTGCATAGCGTAGCATGGCGTAAATCAGCGCCTGGTGTTGTCGTCTCTTTTTTCTTTTGTTGTGCTGGTGTTCGTAGTACCTACTGCCGACGGCCGCGTGGAGCGATCACACTGTGACCTGTCCTTTGTAGATTTCCTTGTGTTTGGGACAAGGTGTTCACTTTGGGGTTATTGACGGAGCGAGGATTCGAACAGACACGGATGCAGAACGTCAACCTTTGCTCGGTCAAAATCCGCCTCTGCCGTCTTATTCTCAAACCTACAACATCTCAGTGCGAGTGTGAAAGCTCGTGGGCTCAATTCCCACGTCGTCCATGCTGAGATTACTTTCTGCTTTTCGTGCCATGAGAGAACATGCATGATATCTGAAGTTGTTCTTCCTCTACTCGAGACCTCGAGACTATTGTCCGCGCCGGCTTGCTTTAACACTTATATGCGTTGATTGTCGCTTTTATTGTACGGCGCGATACAGGCAAAAAAATAGATGCGCGGAGAAACGGCAGTTAGCTAATGACCCTGTTTTCGAAAAGGGCAAAAAAGTGATCTTAGCAATGGACGCTGTGGGAATTGAACCCACGACCTTTCACATTCTCACGATTTGTGCGAAGCGAAAATCATACCCCTAGACCAAGCGCCCTGGTTATTCGCTTGTTATATGTTGATTTTGAGAGCAAATTATCTTATATTGCAAATTTCAGTAGAGACAGGCTGGGGGAGGAGCAAGGCGAAATGGGAGGTTTATGGCAGTCTGTAGATAACCGAAGGGCATGTCTAAATGTTCCCGTAACCTCCGCCTGTGACCTTGACCTCCTTACCAGCTAGAATAATTCTACTACTATGAGGAATTCTTCAGCCTAGAAGAGCGCATAGGGTAAAGGCGGGAAATTGAGGTGTATCGGTAGTATAACGTTAGGGTAGTCCTGTTTCGCTGTATGCTTTAGATTGGAAGCAGATTCTGGGGATACTCCTGTACGATCCCACCAGGAGAGGCTTATCCAAGACTCACCGACGAGCGTGGAAACTTATACCCCAAAGACAACCCACAAGCTTTAATCGTGCAAAGCAGCCCTCGAAATTTTCAAGAACGGATTATCCTTTTCGTCACAGCCCGCGCCCTCCTTCCCTTCCCATGCAACATGCGCTGAGATTCTCGCTTCTGACCTTGAACTGCTCGTCTTTCGTCTTTCGACGTATGGATGTAGTCCCGTGAATGTCGTTAGAAACACAGCTTCTCGAGGACCTGCAAGACGGATCCATGGATCTCATGCTCACTGCAAAACGCTTCGAAGTGTTGTCATCACGGGCTGCTCATGGCCAGGCACGGGAGGCTGAACGGTTCGATGTAATGTTACTGATCCAGCTGAATAGCTATGCAGTGACAGAATCACTACCCTCAATTTCCTCAAAAAATCGACCAATGATTCCCCTTACAACTTGAAAAGTAAAAGAGCCCAGTCGAGTCACAAAAAGTCCAACGGAATTGCAAAACAACCACCATACTCGTACAACCACGCGTTTGACAAACTCCTGAAGCCTCAACCTTCACCAGCTCCCTAATCACTTATTCCTCGCAATCCCCACAACATTTCTCAACGTCCCAAACGGTAACACATCTGCAATCCTCTTCTTCCCGGAGAACAACATAACCAATCTATCCAACCCACACCCCCACCCCCCGGTCGGCGGCATGCCCCACTCCAGCACCTCAAGGTAACTCTCGTCTACGGCACCTTCGCCTTCCGGATGAAATTGTTTCTGCATCATGAACTTTCTGCGCTGCTCAAACGGCGAGTTCTCCTCTTCGTACGCGTTTACGTACTCGCGACCGTTGATGAAGAGTTCGACGCGCGCGGCGACGCGTTGGGAGATTGCAGGGTCGAAGAAGGACTTTGAGAGGGGCGAAAGGGCTTCCGGGTGGTGCGTTATGAATGTCGGGGATCTGCAGAGGGGTTCGATGTAGATTTCTGCGAGGGTGTCGAGGAGACGGGGGAGGGTGGGGTTGGGTGGAATCTCGAGGTTTAGCGAGCGGAAGAAGGCGAGGACGTCATCTGTAGCCGTGTCTGCAGAGAGGTCTGGGAGTTCCTTGCCGCTTTCCGCTTCGATAGTTGGGATGAACGGAAGTTGGGCGAAGGGGTGTGTGAAGTTAATACCTTCGACAGGTTTCAGCGAAGGGAAGTAGGAGGGTCGAAGGGACTCGACGGTCGTGTAGAGGTCGTGTATCATTCTCTCGGTCTTCTCGATCAACGAGGGGAGGGTGGCGCCGACTTCGTAGAATTCGCAGATGGAAAATTCGGGGTTGTGTGTGTTGTCTACGCCTTCATTGCGGAAGACGCGGCCGATTTCGAAGACTTTGTCTTGTCCACCTACGATCAGCCGTTTGAGGTTCAGCTCTGGTGCGATGCGCAAGCGGATGGGCATGTTGGACATCTCGTTCGCGATTGTTTCGAAGGGGCGGGCAATGGCGCCTCCGGCTTCTACGTCGAACATCGGAGTTTCTACTTCGAGAAAACCGCGGTCCATGAGTGAGTTTCGAATGTAGTCGTAGATGAGCGCTCGTAACCTCAACACATCGCCGGGCTCATCGTTGGTGAGTTGGTGGACATGCGGTTTGCGCGCGAGCGTCTCCGCATCTTCAACCTTGTCAGGGACGTGGTGTAGACATGGCGCGAGGACTTGCGGGACATCGGTGGCAGATATTGTGAGCTGGCCGGTAGGCGTCCTAGTAGGATTTCCTTTCACGGCTGCGCAGGGTCAGTGAGTATCGCATGAGAGATGCACTTAGGCTCACATATCCAGTCGCCGATTCGGACCACCTTCTTGAAGCTTTTAAAGCCATCTTCCAGGCTAGGGTCCAGATTGCTCAGCCTTTTGAGCTCGACCATGGCCTGCACCCGCTGCGTCTCTCGCTCAATGTCCAGAAACATGAGCTTAGAGCCGAGAAGCCGCACAGAACGGACTCTGCCTGTCGTCGTCAATCCCAGCTCAGCTCAGCCGTTGCGTGGCCCTTCCATACCGAACACCGAGACGACGCCGGGCTGCACGTCTTTTATCGCTTCATATCGCGAGTTGAACTCCCGGACAGAGAGAGTCTCGGCTCCATGCGCATGGGTAAGCCGTGGGTGGTAATCATCCAAAGCCCGCGCCTTCTTCAGTTGTTCGAGACGCTTCTGCTTCTCAACATCGTGTGGCCCGGTGTACGCGTCCGCCGACACCGTCTGTGCGAACCTGCGCTGGACGGCGAGGTAGACGCGTGCATGCTCGGGGCGAAGAGGCCTGCAGCTCCCACAGAGGTAGGGCCGCAGGAACTGGAGCGCGGGTCGACTCATGCCTTGGGTTGTCAGCTTCGGTACTCAGAAGGTAGACGCGCAATGACGGGAAAGGAATGGATGGGATGTCGCATTGCTGAGCTTCTAGCTCGACATGGAACAAGTGGATCAGATATTAGGTATACATTGAAATCAGCGCCCCGAAGGGTGTCATTCGCAACGGTTCTTGAAAGAATCATCATGTGGGAGAATTGGGTAGAGCAATTGAGACACTTACCTGGCAGAGGTGCATGTTGCTCGACTGGACTGGAGCATGCAGCTGTCCGTTGCAAAGTTTTGGAGCTCCCACGTCGGGCCGACTCGGGGCCATCCCGAAGGGGTTAGCGCTGAATGAGCTCCATCAAGATGCATCTACCCGAAGGAGCACAACCAGTCACACTTATGACATATACGCTGGGGAAGGCGCGGGTTTCCAGGAAAGAGCATTCTAGGGACCTCGGGAGTCAACAGAGCTTACGAAGATGCTTCCTGAGCATCAACAGGGCCAACATTGGCAACTGTCGGTAACAATTATAACGTTAACATAAACATCTGTCTATTGTTTTGGTCATCGACGGCGGATAGTCCAATTTCGCATACAATCCGGCGCGGTAACCGACGTCAAGGCTCTATGGATCAAGTCACGCTACAATACTTATCCAATCTGTGCGAGGTCAACTTGCAGATTCCGAATGACATATACCCCATTGAACATTACCCATCCCAAGCCAAGTCCAATGTCCCCACGATATCAACTCAACACTACATCCGATCTAGTGCCCAACCTCCCCCTCGCTTCCCACAGAATCAAAGTACCCTGATTCCCTTTCGTCGCCCTCACTAATCCGGCCTTTCCGAGGCAGCGGGCTTTTTCTCCCGAACTTATACCGCGGACTCGCCAACCCGCTGCCCATCCCACTCATTTTCTTGATGGCATCGAAATTCATTTGGAGGCGTGTAGAGCCCGACGGCGGACCCTCTTTCTCGGTCCCAGCATCAGGGCTAGTGGCCGGCGAGGGATTATAGGTAGCGGTTGCGAGACGATGGCTCGGTCGGTGGCGTGAAGTGGCAGACCGAGAGGATGGCGTCGGAGATACGTGAGGCAGACGTGCGGTGCTGGTATAGGTGGCCATGCTGGCGATGTTTTGGGCCGGAGGAGAGGACTGAGGAGAGGAGGTGGGGTCGGCGAACTCGAGGACGACGTGGGAGCCGCGCCGGGATTCGTACGTGTTTGGGAGGATAGTCGTGATCCTTTTGGGGTGAAGAGGAGGGTGGGAAGGCGTTGTGTGGCCTGTGGAAGTTAGTAGGTAAGAAGGGTTGGAGGGAGTAGTGAGAGATACATTGAGGGCGAGAGATGGAGGCTTTGCGGTCGAGGAGGTGGTCGGAGCCTGCGGGGAAGGTCAGAAGCATTTTTTTGGCAATGAGAATGGAACTCCTACCTCGACTGCGGCGTGAGCTGAACGATGCGAGCTTCAGTGGTGGAGGGCGCGTTACTAAAGGAGTCGAGACAGGGGTTCCGCATGTAGAGGGAGGTGCTGAGTTTGTTCTGGGCTCGTCAGAGTTAGGCAGTACGAACACAGAACCGTTGACATGAAGTGACTTCGGGGAACTGTTTTCAGTCGCTCTTTTAGCGTCATTTCCGTCATCACGGGTTGAGCTGGCGGTGCCACTCCTGGTAGAGTAATCGTGGGAACCTTGTCGGCTGGTACCATTCTGTTCGACGCTTTGGGCTGCGTTGGACTCGTGGCGGCTGATGTTCTCGTACTTTGCGTCCAAGTCCGTGACGAGGGTGTCACCAAATTCGCGTTGGATGTTGGCAAAATGCTCGTTGTGGGACTCTGTGAGTGCGTTCGAGATCGTGTTCGATGCCGCTGCGGATTCGGCAGGCGGTTTCCAGTCGATAGGACATAGAACTCCATGTCTATCAACCGCTTGGAACGCTTCGAGAAGGCGAAGTGCTTCAAGAACGGAACGCCCGACTGTTACATTGTTGAGAGTGACCTGGTAAACATGAGCTTTGATATCTCGGCAATCCCTGAGCTATTCCACTAACATGCTGCACGATCCCTTTGCCATCTAGTATGAACATGCCTCTCAGACAGACGCCCTCATCTTCAATGAGAACTCCATAATCCCGGCACATCTTGTGGCTCACATCACTCAGCAGGGGAATGTCAATTGGGCCCAAACCGCCGTACTGCCTGGGTACATTCTGCCAATGCCATAGTGAATGTTTGGTATCGACGCTCACAAATACGACTTGGGTTTTGCGGTTGCTGAACTCTTCGAGGCAATTCTGGAAGGCCAGCACTTCCGTAGGGCAAACGAAGCT